CTCTCTCTCTCTCTCTCTCTCTCTCTCTCTCTCTCTCTCTCTCTCTCTCTCTCTCTCTCTCTCTCTCTCTCTCTCTCTCTCTCTCTCACAGGAATCATTTGTCTCCATGCACACCATTCAAACTACACACAGGGATGCAAGTGAAGAGTGGCCGTGAGAGAACTTGGGACTTCGTTCAGTCCTGAAACTGGGCTTACATGCGATGTTTGAACCGAGTGGGAAATTGGGAATGTCATTTGCTTGAGAAATTGCACAAATTGAGCTTTCATTGTTTCTCTCAATGTCAGCAATGGGGGTTGGCTTCGGAGTGGGCAGTCAGTCAATGTCTGGTTATTCATCGCTTTTTTTTCCCCTTCTTTTTTTCCTTAAACGATCACTACCTTTCCCTCATATCGGCTGCGGAATGGGTCACCGCACATTTCAGAGGCCGAAATGAAACGACGGCCGCTGATGAGATTTGTCCACGGCAGCCGCCGTTTGGCCCCACCCCCGAAATATGCGGTATAGGCTATATTCCCACTTTTCCCAACACTGGGAAGGTAGTGGTGGTTTAAGGAGGTAGGTTGCCCGTGACATCATTATATTTGTCTGATTCCATCAGGATTCGAACTCATGATGTATTTTCTAAACACAAAGATGTGTTTACCAGTCACCCATGTGTGCCAGCCCAGGTGTTTATTCATCCATCGCCTATATCGACCGGAGCTCTCTCTTTCTCTTCTTCTCCTATCAAGTCCCCGGGTCTTTCTCTTTATCTGGGATTTTTTTTTTTTTTTTGGGAAAATGATCTGTGCGAGGCATAAGGCCTTGATAAGACCTGTTGGGCCACTATTTACAACAGCGTCTACCGCCTTAAGTGAAGGCAGGCTCGAAAGACCCCAAGAGGCCTATTTTGGACTACTTCACAACTGGGGGAAAATTCAGGCAATTGCGCAGCGCCAGTTGGTTGGAAGCGCCCAGGCCCTGGCCTTCTTTATCAAATGCATCTGAGTCAGGCCCTCGGCAAGATTCGCAGCATGGACCCAACTCAGGCTGCGGGCAGTTGGGCACTAGTAACCACCACAGGCCCTGGGCCTGTTTCCTTTGGATAGAGGCTCAACCTCGTGGGGCCTACCGGAAGCTTCTGGGTCGGGGCCCAGTACCGCAGCACAGCACGCAGCAGCAGGCCACTTCGATATAGGGAAGGGCCTGCCTACGCATTGAACATTCGGGCACTGGCTGCTTTGTGCGCAAGCGCTGCTGCGCTATCGCTTGCCAGGCTCACGCACTCACGGGCGACCTGGAAGGAGCAGGCAGCCATAGCCGAGCTGCGCTGCTGTATGCTGGATGGGGCACATGGTGGTTCTCGGGTGCATGTGGCATCTGTGAGTTGGGGAACGAGGTTGTGAGTGATACGAGAGACATACCTGGTGCTTGAAGCGTACGACATTGGCCGAGATCTGCTCGTACTTCGGGGAGCTGTTGACGTCATCAGCGGCATTGTAGATTAGGCTAGATAGGATCTGCCATCTGTGGTCTGGGCGCCGAGCGCCAGATAGGATATCGACATTGGTTCTTCGTTGATGATGATGAGACCATTCCAGCATTGTCAATTATGAGCTTCTGCTGTGTTCTTATTTGGTGAAACTCGTGATGCAATTCTGCTAATGGTTCGAGGTGACGACTATCTGGTCTCATGTGTATGATGCTGTTTGATTTCTGAAGTTCGCTATCGCTCATCTTCCTTGCATCTGGGAACTCGTTGAGCCGCAGAAGGACGATCCCAGAAAGATTTTTTTCCCCCCCCCCTCGGCAGTTGTCCCTTCCGTTATGTTTGGTTTCGGAATCTGGTTGGGCGGTTCGCCGTCTGGTGCTGTTTGAAACTGTCATGATGGAAAGGTGTAAGACAGAAAAAAAACACCCAAGGCCTAATTGTGATTACGTTTGTGGGAGAGCGATGACATCCTTTCTTGCAGCAACTATCTTCTTTCCCCGAATAGAATGCGTAATGTGATTAGAGCTGTGTTTGGGGAGCATTCAGTCAAGATACAGCTATAATGAGTATTAATGACCATACGATGGATACGTTCTATTCAGGGGAAGACGGTACACAAAATTTGAAGTCTTTTTGCAAGTTTGCACAGAATTTATGGTACATGGTAGGTGTTATCGAGTTTTTTTGTGCGAGGATCTGGGTCCCCGGCAGGCCTAAGGGTCCCCTGCTGCAGATGTGCCCGCCCTAAGTGAAGGCGGGCCTAACAAGTCACGAGAGGCCCTCGACTGTCAATTTCGTATTTGGGGTCCAGGCAGTTGTGACGTGCCAGTTGGTTGAGGGAAACACGGGCCGAGCAGCAAAGACATTCCACGGCCTTCCAGGCCTTTCCAAAAATGCAGGCCCTGGGCAAGAATTGCAGCCTCATTCACGTACAGTTGGGAGGCCCAACCGAGCGATGCCCAGCAGCTGCATCGGAGGCACAGCCTCCTGGGGCCTACCGGAAGCTTCTGGGCAGAGGCCCAGGCCAGCCAGGCCGCCG